GCTCTATCCTGCCGGCTGCAGCGCTATCCAACGCTGGTGCCGCTGGAGAAACGCTGGTGACGCTGGTGAAGCTAGATCGATATGCATCCTCTCTTCGGCACTGCCGCTGGCGTACGCTGGAAGCGCTACGCTACGCTGCGCTACGCTACGCTACGCTGCCGCAAAGTTATAACGCGCCTTACTAGGACTCCACTGTCCCGTCTGCGGTGTTTGAGATTGCGAAATATCGAGAACCCAAGGTTACCGCTCAGTGAACTTCATCTGGTCTTCAAGTGAGACCCTTGAACCCTGATTTATTAGATAAGTGATTTCGGTCTTCCACGAAGCAGGAAAATATTATAGGGTAAGCGACAACATTTCGGGATAGAACAAACGAGAAGGGATGCGGGTTTCAAGGTCTCGCACAGCTGACCACTGTTAGAAAGGACGGTCACTTCTGCTGATGCCGTATGACTGATATGACTAATGGTGGTGATTTCCGATACCCGGAAAGAACTGATTTGTTGACTATTTATTTTGTCTTCAACTCGTCTCGTGATGGTCTATGTACTTTGAGTCTCGTAGGGTGGTATGACATTTGATCGTATAAATCATAAATTGGTTTCCACTTCCAGGCTCCGAAGAAGGCAATCGTGCCGAAACGTTAGCCTACTACTGTGTATAACAACCTCGTGTGAAGTTTGAAGACAAATAAATATTCAACTACTATGCCGAGGTTTATCGAGAACCGGACATGGCGACTGTCATTTGTCACATATTGCTAGTGATGTCAAATCGCCATGCATAAATAATCTTCATTGCTCATTTCAGCTCATCAGTGTTGTTGCGAGCAAACTTCTTCACCAAAGTTTCAAAGTTATTTCAGAAATGAGCAAGTGAAAGTGGCTCTTGAGGTGGAATGGGATTACGAGGCAAGTGAGGCCCTTTTCCACACGCACGACGAGGGATGGGAGTGGCGGAATCCCAAATCGGCTAATGCCAAGCAAACCTCTGGGTCCATCGCGTTCATATGGTATTTTTTAGACCAGCTTGGGAGATTGAATGAGGGGAACCGGTTCGAAATACAGATCTGAACATTGACCGTTATCTACAAGTTAAGGTATGGCTCATAAAAGGATGAACTTCGCCGCTGATCCATCCTTTTTTCAGAATGCGGCACGCTTCCACCTCCATTCAGAATTGTAGGGGCTTACTGAATGCGTTGTGGCCGATACAATGACTTGCGAGGCCAGCCCATTTAAAAGTCAGTGTTTTATTTTTCCAGACCAAACTATCATTGGCTTATCGTTTCCGAAGATTAGAAGGCTTAGTTGGCCTCGGCGGGAGCCGGTCTGGAATTTGATCGCGCAGCAGCAAGTGGTACGTGCAAACTGCGTACCACTTGCTGCTAGACCACCTCCGATAAAGGTAGGGCTAAATCGCATCAAAATCCGAGCCTGGATGGAAGTGGTATGTGTGTATCCGAGAACATCCTCTGTGAGATGGGAATGACTTCACCTACTGAAAAAACTTTCCAGAATGAAATGAAAGGTACCTTTGGTTTTAGTGTTGTAGTAGTATAGATCTCTTCACCGATCTCGTCCACGAATTCTCGAAGTGAGGACGTCCCCGAGACGCTCATGCGCGGTTTTTCTCGCACAGCTGTATGATCCACCTGGAACAAGACGATATGACATTTACTGTCGCGATCCCGATAGAATATCCAACCGTGCCTTTTTCATTTCTCCCGGGCTATCAAGTAAATCCGCTTCTTTGATCTCATCCTCTTTTGAAGCATCAGGGGCATCCTCTGCGGTCTTCTCTGTGAGTGGTGACGTGGATGTCGTTCCAGCCGTCGTGGTTTGCTACATGAGAGTACATTAATGCAAAAACGAACAACATCTTTTATTATTTTATCATTTAAATTTGTTAATTGGCGTTTGATATACAGGTTAATGTACATAAAATGTACAGCTTGAGCGTGGCTCTCAAATCAGCAAAAGTAAAACTACAGAATGCTCGTTACCTAGTCAAGGAAGTCAACAATATGCACACAAGCAATGCCTAACAAGGTACTGAAGTTTGATTCACGTGCAGAGGTCTTATGGCTGTGAACATAAGCAGGGAAGTTAAGTAACCGGATAACACCATGCTCAGCTGTGCGTCAAGGCTAGGTAGAACTTACCTGTGCTGGTGTAGGCGTAGGAACGAGAACTGGATTCACTGGGAGGCCGTGACCGAGCATGTCGTAGATACCTGAGAGTATGCCTAATTACAGCATAGCGGGCTTTGAGAGCTTTGAATGCTTTCAGTTCGGGGGGATGTGAATAAATCATCTGGATTAGTTGGGAACAGAAGCTAGCTAGTGTAATGATTACATTCACTGAATTGCTGAAACTACAGGAGAAATATGAACTATTTATTTCCTGGGAGGAGGGGAAAGAAAAAAGGCACTACTCAATTATTACTACCCCAATTTTCCGAAAACAGGCCGGATCTTGATCGACTTTTTTCTACGGGGGCAGATTTGGCTGAAAGTTGGGTTCTAGGGGTAATTCGACCTCCTGAACACGAATATCACGAATGGCCTGAAAGTGCTGGCGCCTGCGCCACAGGCGCCGGCGCCAAAATACCTAGGTCACCAAATCCGCTGAAAACTTGTATACGGAGGTTATTTGACATCTTGATTACAAATATCACATTCATTTTTGGCGCTGGCGCTGATGGAAGACGCTGCGATCATCTGCGCTCTGCTAAGGCTGAGCCTGACCTGAAGGAAATCACTCTTTCTCCCAGGCTCAGCCTTAGAAAAGCGCTAAATGGCGCTGGCGTCGAAAATAAATGTCATATTCGTGATCAGGGCATCAAACAACCCCATTATGCAGGTTTTTATCGATTTTGATAAAAAAGGGTGTGGCGCCAAATCAGCGCCTAATGGCGCCAGATGGCGTCAGGGCTGAAAACTAATTCGGTATTCGTGATCAGGACATCAAATAATCCTGATATGCAAATTTACAACGAATTTGGTGAGAAAGGTGACGGCACCAAAGACGAGTGCTATATTCGTGATCAGGACACCGAATTACCTCTGTGGGCAAAGTTTCAAAAAAAATGTTTTTTGACTTTTTGGGGTAGTAATAGTTGAATAGTGCCGAAAAAAGAAAGCATTTCAAAATACGTGTTTAGCTTCGACATTTTCAGCTTCTGAACAAATGAGGGAATGAAAAGAACGCGAAAGACGATCAGGGAATGACGGCTTGACTGTGCCCATCGACAGAAGAGAATTCCCTCTCACACAGCGCAGCGCTGGCCAAGGGGCACGATATGCTTTCGTGCTCGGCGCAACCACCCTGTACCACTTGTCGATTTATCCTGCCGCTTGCCTTTAATTGTGTTCAGCACCCCATTTTGAGATGCAGGTTTCGCCATAACCACCACCGAAGAAAAAACTGTTCAAAACGACCAAAGAACGAGGATGAATCCGTAAACAACCGTTACACGATTTTTCTGATCCTTGCAAGGACTTGTTCCTAGACTTATCTGGGCATCTTCTTAAGAATTCGAATGAATCGTCTCAAGCCGACGCATATGTTCAAATCATATGTGGTCGAAGGGGATTCAGCCTTTTTATTCGCAAGGGTCGAGGAGGGGCGCTGTGAGATGGGCATAGCCCGTGCTTGGGACATTTTTGTTCTGCAAAACTGATTTTGGGAGGTTTTTAGACACAAACTAATGAACTAAGTAAACCACTAAGTAATCCCGAAAGCATCTTTTTCACAAAGCATTTGGACGCAATAAGTATTCCGTGATAAAATCCTCCTAGATATCTCTCAAGATGCGCCAGGCATTCTAGTTATTTAAAGTTGCAGCGGCATTCTAGGGCGAGTTGGCCAACGCTTGAAGGACCACCGATGTTTGAGTTTATGAGCTCCATGGTTGCCTTTCTTGGAACCTAGGCATTTCCCTTCTTATATCAGCAATGTTTTTTTTGCGCCAGACAGTTTCGGCCTTGTGGAACTTTATTGTACCTGATTTATCGCAGTGCTTTTGTCTGAGTACCAGCAGGTGGGAATCACGTTTGTGTTAAGCAGGAAAGATAACATATTAAGTGTCTCGGCTGTTAGACCTTTGATGACGACAAACTTGAAATGCCAGGCTCAATAAAAGTCCCTCATAGGAAACCAGTCTGACACAAAAGGAAAACATTGTTCGAATGGGTGGTTTTATGCCACAAAACGAGCCCCAGTATCACTGGACTAGCTTGATGTACTCTGGAAGAACGAAGGACAAGGTGGGGACGGAGCAGACAAGAAGTCTGACTTTGCAACCCAGAGCCTGGTAAACGGCGCCACGCCATTGTGCT